GGGATGGAGCCAACTGGCTATGTCGTGACGCCGGAAACCACAGCCACTCGGTCTTGGACGGGTTGAGTCGAAGCCTGTTCCAGCTAGGGGATTTGGGGCCAATCACCAAGAGATGGAGAGTTCTAGTCTCACCTTAGGCATGAAAACTGGTTGGTTGACTTTGGGCCAATCACTAGGAGATGGTGAATTCTAGTTCTGCCTTAGCCATGAAAGTCAGCTGGGGGATTTTGGGCCAATCACCAGGAGATGGAGAGTTCTAGTCTCACCTTAGCCATGAACGTCAGCTGGGTGATTTTGAGCCAATCCCTCCTTCTCAGCCCAATCCACCTCACAGGGTGTGGTGGAGGTAATCGGAGAAGGAAGGTGTGTTGGATATGTTCACCACCTTATTCGTAAAACTAATAAAAGCAAATTAATAAATTTAATTTAAAATATTAAAATATTTATTAAAAAATAAATTTAAAAATATTAAAAAACATAGGAGAATCTCTTTTTTTATTATTATTATTTATTTTTTTATTTTTTATTGTTCCAAACTCTCCCCCATACATATACCGTGATATTTATCAGATGTTAACATACATTCTTTTTACATTCTTATATGTAAGATACTTTTAATGAAATAAATACATACACATGACTTTTGATGTTGCTCGCCCATTTCCCCTTTCACTGCATCCACACTCCTTCTTCTCTACCTTCTTTCTCCCTTTCTTCTCTTTCTTCCCTACTTCCCTCTTCTTCCTCTCCTCTTCTTTTTCCTTCACCACTCTCTCCTCCAACCTTCCTACTTCCTTCTCCCCTCCTTTACTCTTTTCTCTCTCCTCTCCTTTCTTCCCTCTCATCCCTCTTCAGATACAATTCGGGGGTAATGTCCAAGCAAGTCCTCTCCAAATTTCCCTATCTGTATTATATACAATAAGATTAATTTTCTCTTACATTAATACTTCTATTTATCTAACCTTCTCAGTATATACTTCTATAAATATTTATACAATCTCCAGTTATTCAATACTGTGTCACCTGGGTCTCCCCCCTTATCTGCTCCTTCTTCTTCCATCTAAATTGATGTTAACTATCTTTTAATCGTATTCTCTTTTCAGCCAATCATAAAATGTTCCCCAGATTTCATAGTAGTCTGACTCTGTCTTATCTTTAATCGTCATTGTTAGTCTATTCATTTCTGCACATTCCAGTATTTTCCCAATCACCTCTCCCTCTGGGGGGGCTTTCAGTGCTTTCCAATTTTGTGCAAACACAATCCTGGCTGCCGTAGGAGAATCTCTTGATCTCAACTTAGAACTAAGGAGTAATTTCCTGACAGTTAGAACAATTAAACAATGGAACGACTTGCCTCCAGAAGTTGTGGGTGCTCCAACACTGAAGATTTTTAAGAAGAGATTGAACAACCATTTGTCTTTAGTGGTATAGTGTATCTTGCTTGAACAGAGGGTTGGACTAGAAGATCTCCAAAGTCCCGTCCAACTCTTCTGTTATTCTATCATTGAAGCAAGGATAGCAATTGTGTTGGTTCCTTGAGGTTAAGGGTGTAGGTCAGTGGTTCTCAACCTGTGGGTCGGGACCCCATTTGGTGTCGATCGACCATTTCACGGGGGTCGCCAAGCAAGGCTGTCCGCCATTTTTCTTGTCCACCATTTTTTTGTCCGCCATTTTTTCCCCTTTTCCGGCGGGTGCCTTACCTCTCTTGGGCTGGGCCAGCTGGTGGTCGGCCTGCTCCGTCTCTGCCGCTTGCCAGCTATGCCTCGGCCGGCGCAGGGGGCGGAACCACGCATGCGCGGCACTCCCGGGCAGGGAAAGTCCTCGACTTACGACCGGTTGGGTAGTCCTCGACTTACGACCGGTTTAGTCCTCGACTTACGACCGGTTTAGTCCTCGACTTACGACCGGTTGGGGTCGCGGCATTAAAAAGGTTGAGAACCACTGGTGTAGGTATATACATATGTTGTATATAGCATGTTTATATGTGTGTTATGGATGTGTACACCAGGGGTCTTCAAACGTGGCCCTTTTATGACTTGTGGACTTCAACTCCCAGAATTCCTCAGCCAGGCACGCTGGCTGAAGAATTCTGGGAGTTGAAGTCCACAAGTCATAAAAGGGCCACGTTTGAAGACCCCTAATGTACACTTTTGAGAGCAAGCAACAGAATTTCATTTTTAATGTGTGCCAGTAAAAAATGACAATAAAGTTATCTTATCTCATCTTATCATCTTATCTTTTTATGTTTTTGTAGTTAGGTAAGAACTTGTGGCCTTGAATTTATGCTAATTTGGGGGTTGAGTCGTCTAAAGTGGGTGGTGTAGATTTAATCCTGATGCACACATATTCCCATACAGATCCATTACTGGCTTCATAATATCTATCCCAACAGATATCCCCGTAACCACAGCTTCACCTGCGCTCCACTTTGGAATATATTTTTTTTTCATGGAACATGAAAGTGTACCTAAAATAGCAATAAATTCCAGTTGTCCCTTCTCAGTCTCTGTCTTTCCTCTTCCCCTTTCAGAAGTTGGCAGCCGAGTGCGAGAGTGCTGGTTATCCGGGCGTCCTCATCCCGTATAAGTGTGACCTCTCGGTGGAAGAGGAGATTCTCTCCATGTTCTCTGCCATCAAGACTCTCCACCAAGGCGTTGATGTCTGCATCAACAATGCTGGCTTGGCACGGCCTGAACCACTCCTGTCTGGCAAGACCGAGGGCTGGAGAACCATGATAGATGTGAGTAGGGGAGGGAGGAATCTCCAAGGGACCTTCTCAACCCACCTGCCGAGGGTCAATTTGCTGCCAAAATGTTCAGCAGGCTGAAAAATGTATGTCCCTCAGCATTGGCTGGTGTGCTCCTTGGCATCTTCTACAATCAAATTTGTACTTGCAAGGCTCTGTAATTCTGAATTTCACAGCTCACCCAAGTGATGTAGAAAGCGGCAACCCAATTGATTCATTTCTTGCTCCTGTTCTACCTCAACCTCCAACTCTTTCTCTTTCTCTTTCATATCATTTTCCTCTTCTTTCTGTTTTCTCTTCCTCCTCACTCTTCTGTCCCTTCTCCTTCTGTTCCACCTCAACCACCACCTCTCCTCTTCTTCCATATCATTTCTTCCTTCTCTTCTTCCTCATTCTTCTCCTTCTGCTCTATCCCAACCACCGCTTCTCTTTTTCCATATAATTTTCATCTTCTTTCTCGTTGTTTTTCTTCTCCTTCATCTCCACCTTATGCTTCTCTTCCATCTCAACCTCAACCTCCTGTTTGTGCCTCCTCCACCACCACCACCTCAACATCCTTTTTGTCCTCCTCCTCCTCCTCCTCCTCCTCCTCCTCCTCCTCCTCCTCCATCATCATCATCCCCACCAGCTCAAGCTCAACCTCTTTTTTGTGCTCTCTCTTTCTCCTTCTTCCTGGAAGGAAGCCATAGTAAAGTCTGTTCTGTTTATTTGAAGCTTAGTGTATTGTTCAAATTATTTACCTCGGGGTCAGTGACCTGTTCTGGTGTCTACTCATGTAAGTAATGGCATAAGCATTCAACTGCCCCCCTCCCCCCATCACCAGGTGGAATGACATTTTGATCTTGTTTCAAAATCAGGCATGATTTTTGCATCTTTTATTTTTTGCACCAAGATCTTTTGAGTATCCAGAGGGGAACATCAGAATCTTGTAAGATTAGTCCTTCTCACGCATTTTTGCTCATTTATTTAAGCGCCGTATTTATTGTTATCAAATAAAATCTAACCTTTTATGACAGTCATTAACCAGCTTTAGAAAGCAAACACAATCCTGGACCTAGGATGAAAAGAAAAGTGATAAAAACAGTGAAAGCAGATAAACATTTTAATTAAAAGAAAATTTGATGGGACGATATAGTTGGGAGATCTCATATAGAGGCCAACAGGAGTTGTTGCAGGCAGCATAAATAGTTACAGTGCTGGTAATCGCTAATTTACTTAAATTCAAAGCTTCTGATTGATTTGGATTACTCTCTTCCTTGCTCTTCCAGGTCAATATCCTGGCAGTCAGTATCTGTACACGAGAGGCTTACCAATCCATGAAAGAAAGAAACATTGATGACGGCCACATAATTAACATTAACAGGTGGGAAAGTTGCACAAATGAAAATTTATTCATTATATTTGTTTTGATAACAATAAATTGTTTGGATAAATAACTTAGGAGGCTAACATGCTTAATACTCCTCCCTCCTATTTTCCCCACAACAACCCTACAAAGTGGGTTGGACTGAGAGAGAGGGGCTGGCCCAAAGTCACCCAGCTGGCTTTCATGCTTAAGGTGGGACTAGAACTCACCGTTCTCCTGGTGATTGACCCCAAATCACCCAGCTGGCTTTCATGGCTAAGGCGGGACTAGAACTCATCATCTTCTGTGATTGGCCCAAAATCACCCAGCTGGCTTTCATGCCTAAGGCGGGACTAGAGCTTGCAGTCTCCAGGTGATTGGCCCAGATCACCCAGCCAGTTTTCATCACAAAGGCGGGACTAGAATTCATCATCTTCTGGTGATTGGTCCACCCAGCAGGCTTTCATGCCTAAGGGGGAACTAGAACTCCCCGTCTCCTGGTTTCTAAGGAACTTTCCCCCACAGCATCCTGTATATGTGCTAGACCAGGAGTAGTCAACCTTGGCTCTTTTATGACTCGTGGGCTTCAACTCCCAGAATTCCTGAGCCAGCACAGCTGGCTTAGGAATTCTGGGAGTTGAAGTCCACGAGTCATAAAAGAGCCAAGGTTGACTACCCCTGTGCTAGACTATACTTTCCACCATCCCCAGCCAGCTTTTCCAACACACCTCTAAAGGTTAAATTTAATTTAACATTTGGGATGTTAAATTAAACATCCCAAATTCTGCATATTATCTTTTTGATGTTTCTTAATTTAATTGCAATACATCTTTATGGTGTATATTTATATTTTGTTTATTATATTTTTTGCTCGTTTTTAATTTTGTTAGCCATACAGATTTACTGACGTGAGATGGGCAGCTTTATAACTTAAATGAGTGAATGAATGAATGAATGAATGAATGAATGAATGAACGAACGAATGAACAAATGAATGAATGAATATAGAAAACAATGTTCACAGTTGGCTTATCATATCTGTCTCAAACTGTGATGGTATACTGTATATAATGACCCTTTTCTTCTGGGAAAACTGTGGAAAACAAGCATCAGCTACATTTTCCAGCATTCCTCACTACCAGCCACTTTGAATGAGGCTGTGGCTGTTGTGAGTCAATGTGTGTGTATGTGTATATATGTATGTATGTATGTGTATATACATACAGTGTGTGAGTATATATATTTGACTTAACAACTGTAGCAAAACAGGTTGTAAAACGGGACACAGCTCACTTAACTGCCTTGCTTAGCAACGGAAATTGTGGGTTCAGTTGTGATCGTAAGTCGAGGACTACCTATATACTGAATATTTTTCCCCTCTTTTGCCTTTCATTCCTTTTTCCCTGCGTTGTCCCCAGCATGAGTGGTCACAGAATCATCCCGGAGTCGGTTGTACACTTTTATAGCGCCACAAAGTATGCTGTGACGGCTTTAACCGAAGGGCTTCGGCAGGAACTAAGGGAAGCAAAGACTCACATACGAGCCACCGTGAGTAACTCTGATTGGCCTGTTTTGCTTGTCTGAAGTCCTGGGTTCAATTCCCTCCATCTCTGCCAAGTTTTGTGAGTCAGAAAAGATATCTCTTTTCCAAAAATGACCAGATCTGATATTCTTTTCAGAAGACCACATTTATGGGCTTTCCTGAGGTCAGTCCACTTTGTGCGCATAAAGCATCATTGGCAGGCTGTGCCCAGAGGCAAACAGTCTACAACAGTGTTTCTCAACCTTGGCAGCTTTAAATGGGCGGACTTCAACTCCTAGAATTCCTAAGCCAGAATGTTTTAAGATGGGTGGACTTCCACTCCCAGAATTCCCCAGCCAGCCTGCTTTAAGATGGGTGGATTTCCACTCCAGAATTCCACAGCCAGCCTGCTTTAAGATGGGTGGACTTCCACTCCCAGAATTCCCTAGTCAGCAAGGGAATTGAAGTTCACACATCTTAAAAGCATGCTGGCTGGGGAATTCTGGGAGTTGAATTCCACCTATCTTAAAATTGTCAAGGTTGAGAAACACTGGTTTACAACTTTGATCCCTCCCAGTCAGTGCAGCCCCACTATTTTATTTATAAATCTATTTATTTCATTTATTTATACATGGTTCCATGAATATTTGGAGGTCAACCCCAAAGTGGGCTGGAGATTGTAGCCATGGCCAGCTGATCGAGGTGGACCTTTCAGGATTGATTGAGATGTATTTGTTTTTAACATCTGATTGGATTTACTTAGATGCCTATGGAGATTCTCAGTCATCCAGGTCATGGTTGTCCCAAAGATGCTTTTCCAAAAGGCATCTGGAATTTCTTGGGGGTTTTTTTCCGTTAAAACATTTCGCTTCTCATCCGAGAAACTTCTCGGACAAGAAGCGACACGTTTTCAAGGAAAAACCCAAGAAAGTCCAATTGGAAAAGTACGTTTGGGATTTACTTAGATGTTTTATATGTGCTTCTTTTTTGTGCTGATGATGACTAATATGTACAGGTAGTCTTGACTTATAACTGTTCACTTACTGACCATTTGAAGTGAAGAGGGACCCGAAAAAGGGGATTTTATGACCTGGATCTGAAGTTTTGACAGACAGCTCTCCCTGTGGTCATGTGACTGAACTCCAGGTGCTCCACAACATGGCCGCCATTGAGCCATTTGCAGCATCGTGCAGTCATGTGGCCACTTTTTACGGTGGTTTTGCCAAAAAGTGGCATTTACTTCCAATTTTGGGGACAACAGTGCCCATAGCAAATTATTGGTTGGCTTCAGAACTGTGGTGTTTGATTCACTCAACGACCGTGGTGATTTGCTTAATGACCGTCACAAAAAAGTCATAAAATCAGGTTATTGCAATTTATGATTATAACAGGCGGGATCCATTGCAGTTATAATTCGAGGAACATCTGTATTCATTTTGATGTTTTATCCTAGAAAAGCAGGATGTACAATAGGATGCTGTTTTTCTTTTTTCCCGTTTTATTCCTTTTTTTTTCTTTTTTTTTCTTAGTGTATTTCTCCAGGTCTGGTCGAGACTGGATTCGCTTTTAAACTGCACGATAATGACCCGGAAAGAGCTGCAGCCACATATGAGAGTATTAGGGTAAGAGAAAAACCAAAGAGCTATAGAGGGGTGATGTTGGTTAAGAGAAATGTAAAATTGCTTATATTTTGAGTTTAGGATAGACACATTCAACTTCTGGGCAGTGCACCCGAAAATTGGATAGGTTTGCGGGGGTGGCAGAAAAAAAAAATCCCTATAATTCAATCTAAATTTATACATTGGGTTTATATACTTATAGGTAATCCTTGACTTACAGTTATTTGTTTAGTGACGGTTCAAAGTTACAAGGGTACTGAATAAAGTGACCTATGACTGGTTCTCACCCTTACGACCGTCACAGCATCTTTACGGCCACATGATCAAAATTAGGGTGCTTGGTAACTGGCATGCATTTATAAAGATTACAGCACCTTGGGATCACGTGATCAACATTTGAGATCTTCCCAGCCGGCTTCGGACAAGCAAAGTCAATGGAGGAAGCGGGATTTGCTTAATGGCTGCACAATTCACTTCACAACTGCAGAAAATTGGCAACAAAAAAAAAAGGTTGTAAAACTGGACTTGGCTCGATTAACAACTGCCTTGCCTAGGAATAGAAATTCCGGTCGTAAATGTGGTTCTGGGAGTTGAAGTCAACACCTCTTCAGGTTATCAAGGTGGAGAAACCCTGTGCTACAGCATCCAAGTTAGATGATGGGGGAGGACAGTGAGTAAGTCCACTCCTCCTTGGTATGAACAGTTACTCCTATTTCTCCCTTAGTCATCTTATCTCTTGCTAATCATAC